AGTAGCGTCCTTGCTCCTAGTAGTAAGGCCAGGAGCCCCTAGTAGCGGCCTTGCTCCTAGTAGTAAGGCCAGGAGCCCCTAGTAGCCTCCTTGCTCCTAGTAGTAGGGCCAGGAGCCCCTAGTAGCGTCCTTGCTCCTAGTAGTAAGGCCAGGAGCCCCTAGTAGCGTCCTTGCTCCTAGTAATAAGGCCAGGAGCCCCTAGTGGCGTTTTATCATGTTTCATCGGTGATCACCTTTCACGGTCGTCGCGACTGCGGTCGCAAAGGGTCACTCCTTGGAGCTCTCAGGTCTGGCGATGCGCAGGTCTGGAGCTCCCCTACTGAGCTCCCCACACTAACCAAACACTCCTACACACAGAATGTGGGCAAATGTTGCACATCTATTCGGCTGATTTGTTCAGGTGTTTTGAGGGCTGATGGTCAATGTGTCTATTCGGTTGCCGTCTATACCGTGGTAGAGTCATTTGGGTCAACGTCGGTCTTTAACCTATATTCCAGGCCCATTGGTTGTCTCGGCATGATCGGTTGCGTCCCAACACATCTCCAGCTTTGCATCATGGCCTTTGTCGACGGCAGCAGCACCACATGAGGACCTGGGTTGGTGGACATTGTGAGCGATCTGCGAGAAATGCCGGGTGTTGGTGGGAGGTGCTTGGAGATGTCAACGCTCATTCTCGGTGGCTGGTGTTCATTTTTTTTCTCAAATGACTTGCTTCACCCAGACTCCGTGTATTTTTGAACGTCTGGTCTGGTGATTGGCTGGCAACACATGGCCGGGCACCTGGCGGTTTGCTCGTTTTCGGTTCCTTGCCAAGTGAGCAAGATAGTGTGTAGGACAAAGGTGGAGATCATGGCCGTATTTTTCCTTCTGGAAATCCAAAGCAAAGTTCTAAAGGCTTTCCGGATCTTTCTGGCACCCTTGCAAGGTAACCTATCCCTACAAGTCAAAGACCAGATGGTCATACAAGACCAATACATATGGAGGTAAATGACCAGGGTTTACTGGGTCTTTGGACTTGTGGGGTATGGTGTAATTAGGCTACAAACCTTTGGTAGGATGATTCATGATGGTTCTACTAAATGTAAATGCAACCATATTTTTCTGCATGCTATATACCATATGATACCGATAAAATATACGGTCAACCATCCAAACGACACACGCACACCCGGCTTCTCCCCCCAGTCCACTGGGCTCGCCGGCTCATGTGCAGAACGTTCCCATGCGATGAGACCGGGGGACGACGGTTTTGGGGGTGCGACCGGAGGAGTGACGTGTGTTGGGTTGGTGTCATCTCTTGGGGTTTGTCATTCTTTTCAAGTTTTCCTGGTTGTTTTGGTGCTCTTTTTGGGGTTGGAGGCCATCGCGGTCTGCTAGGCCGCTCCGGCCATCGCTACTAGGCCATCGCTATTGGAAAGAAAGCTGCTACGTCTACGTTCATGTTCAGATGCTTGGGGGGCCATCGCAGATCCGGTCGAACAGTGTATGCAGGGGCGGCTGCTGGAGAACCTGGCCCTCGGTGCGCTTGGAGCAACTTGGTTACTCCGAAAAAGACCAACTTTGGCGTTGGCAGGCTCATGACTTGCTTTGAGACTCAACAGCCAACTCCTGCTCTTTCCCACTGAGCCAATAGGGGTCGGCCGGCGAGGCCGACGTGAGCTATTCCATGAGTTTGCACGGGACCATGTCAAACTCTCACATTGTAAGGATCAGCTGTCTCCAAATTAAGAAAATTGACTGTGACTGCCTTGGTTAGGGGATTCGGGATGTGTGAGCACTTGTCGTCGTAGGCGAACCGGTGATCTACATCAAGAAGAGTTGGTGGCAAGTTTGGGACCGGTGGTCCAGCTGCTAATACATCACTCAAGCTTTCAAGCTATATATATATATATTATAGGTGTTTGATTCGCACCCCGTACTAGAAGTACCCATTACAACCCCCCCAACCAAGCTATTCCAAGTAACCATGGCTCCTAATCATCCTAATCCGTCTTGTTACCGAAGTCCAAAGACCTGGGACGGGACCGACCAACGAACCACATCAAGAGCACCACACACTCCCCGAAATCGGAAGTGGATCGCATGGTCCGTTGGAAGAATCGTCTGCTATCCCTAGGGCTCCTGGCCCACCTACCTCCTGAGAAGATGGTTGGGGTGGATGCCAGGGGGGCCTAACCACTTTTCTGAGGAGATGGGCCAGGAGCCCTATCTAGAAATATACCAACTGCTAAACATGTGGTTCGTTTGGTGGCTGCTTCGGAAGGTGTTCCACTTGATTCAAACAGATCGGGGCGGACCGGACGAAGCAGCGCCTCCGAACTGATGAACTGGTGCACCGACTCCTGTGACTCCCCAAGCCACATATTCATGGAAGTTTACAGGTGAAAACCCCATGAAAAAAACCCGGTTAACCTTATCCACCTGACCTGTTGGCTCGTGCTAAACAACCACCCCCAAAAGAACATTGAAAGTTCATCTTGTCGCGAATTGACAGGTCGTCATGGTCCATCCGATCTCATTCCCCGCGGAACGATGACTTGCTGCTGGCGTCGTAGAAGCGAATGGCCTTGGCTGCATTCAGCGAAAGGGGATGTTAGCAGCATGTTCTGGGGGATACTATATAGGCATCTTACCCTCCCTCTCTCAATCAGGCTGTTCGTCAGCCTTTAGACACAGCATGGGCATGGGCAAAGCAGCATGCATATTCGAGCACACGCATGAGAGCACACAAATAACAGCACACATTTGGGACACAGAAAAGACACATACAAGAAAACGCGTCTTAGTGAACACATCTGATAGCACTCACATGGGAACACAAAAATGAGAACAAGCACATGAGAGCCTTTGAGAGTTCACATACGAAGCCACAGGTATGAGAGCACAAGTATGTGAGCACACAAACATGAGCAAGCGCGCTCTTGGAGCACACTGGTAAGAGTGCTCGAATGGAGCACACCCAAAGGACCCAGGACACAGGTGAGAGCATGGATATGGTCTTCTTTAGCATCCTTGTTCTAATTAGTAGCGATGCCCTTTGCTCCGTTCGTTAGGATGCCCTGTTCGCCCCGTTCGTAGCGTCCTTCCTGGGAGCTTCCGGAGGTTCCCGGATGCTCTGCGCCGGCCGCAGCCCTGCCGGTGCCCGGAGCCGAACGTCGAAGGGATACACTTCCGAAAGCCAAGCCGAAGCTTTCCGGTGATAAGAACCCCAAGTTACGATCGACCATAACCCCCAGCGTAAGAACCCCCGTAAGAACCCCGAGTGTGACCACAGTGTTTGGGGAAACTTAACACCTTGACACAGAATTGGTGTGTTCCATGGTTTTCCACTTCCCGGACTGTTGGGTGTCCAATCTTTGAATCTGAATTCGCGACAGTTCACGACCCTTTTTTAGAGGTCCTCGCACCTTGCCAACCATGTCTCGCACAAACTTCCAAATCCATATTCCGTGACCAGCTGGGGATCAGAGTGAGGTTCCGATCCTGAACACCACCAAGGTGCAGTGCGCATGGCAACTGACTCAGCACGGAGCATACTTTCCACCTGAGCTGCACTTCGGATCAAGTGCTGATGCGGCTTTACCTGGAGACCATGGTCTATATATAAATACACACATTAATATACTATATACACGCCTTATGATCATATTGCATGTCTATAATCAGGAAGAAACAAAGGTCCGAAAACCATTCTAACTTTGATCTCCACATTTTGTGGCAAGCCTAAGCCCATGAAACTGAGTTGCTATTCTCACGCATCCTTGGGGCTACTCATTGGATTCCTCCATTGTGAAGACCACGTGGCTCCTCTATAGCTATGGAAACGGAGGTCTTCATCTGAAAATTCGGGTAGCACAGCGGACCAAACAAGGAAGCAAAGCAGTCAACCAATAAACCATCCTCCAAACCCCAAAATCCAACCCCTTACAGGTTTTGGCATCGGCGTCTTGCCGCCTTGGCCCAGGCTCCCGGGCGGCATCGGCACCCACGCTGTCCACGCAAGCGACCAAGTCTTTGCCAGTCCCTGCGGCACCGCACCCGGGCACCCGGGTGTTGGGCCGTCCGGGTTGGGGCGTCCGTCCACGGGTGGGGCCCCCGAATCAGCGGTGCCTGTGGGCTCCTCCTTGAAGGCTGCCTGGGCCGCTGAGCACCGTGGAGAGCGGAGCGCGGAGCGAGGCTGTCTGGCTCAATCAGGTGATGACGCCAGAGCTGATTGGAGTACTGAAGTCCAGCCTGTGTTCGGAGGTGTTCTTTGGGAATCGTTGAGGCAGACGGCAATTCCAGCACTCCATTTTGATCAATACTACGACTGGACAATGAACTTGCCCAAATGTCCCTAGAACAAAAGTACAATCTTCAGCAAAAGCACCGCTTGGTCCCGCCTTGGCCCAAGCCTGATGCAATTGGCGTTCCAATGCATCACATTGCCGCAAGGCCTAGGTTTCATCCAACCAAAACAAATATTACAGTATGAGTTGGAAAGGGACAATCGCTCAGGTTTGTTTTGCCGGAGTCTATCACACCAGCCAACTGTTTTGACAGTGAATGCCCGTCCCCTGCGTCCATATGCAAGGCGTGACATCTACCACGAAGCTAGGGTCTATAACCACTCTTGTCAGCTTGTTTGTCCACCCAACATGTGCAATCATCTCACTGTGAAAAGCATCTTGGTCAAAAAATATGTTGATTCAATTCCAGCGACGGAATGCAGTTTGAAGGCAGGACACAGTATGTTCAGTGATATTCACTGGGAACCCCTTTGTTTTGGGCAGCCTTTGCAACTGTTCTTCACGCGCAGGGCTTCTCCGTTGGTCGCTTGTGCGCGCAGCATCGTTCCCTGACATGGCTGAGCATTTGCCAACTACAAAAGCACGTGGTGCGACTCCGCAGGGGCTGGGCCCTCTCAGTGACTGCAAAGGAACACCACATTGCTGGGTTGCAAAAAAGTGAAAAAGGAACCAAAAGGTGACTGTTGATTTCTTTACAGACACCGTGCTTTTAGGGAATGTCATCATCCGTATATCATCGGTGTCATGCATACATCAAATTTCATCAAAACAATACCCAATCGATCATCTTGCGCTCAGCCAAGTCAGAGATTGAGGCTGTCAAACTTCCCCAAGCGCTTGTAACGCTCAAACTCTTCGATCTCCTTCTGCATCCATTCATCCTGGGCACTCTGCCGAAACGAACGGACCAAGGGGGCACGAACGAATGGAACAAAACAGGTCGTGTGTAGAGTCCAGGTGTGGTCGTACTTTACACAGGAACTGACTGAAACACAACCAGCACAGCCGCTGTACAAAGTCCAAACACAAGGTCGAAGCAAACTAGGTTGGACGATTGAATCAGGTCTCCAAAAGAGACCAAAAGCAGAACCGCTTGGACAGTTGAATCAGATGTTTGGCAACAAAAACACAGTACCAAGAGTGGTGCTTTCTCCCCTAAACCGATCTTCCACACCGGCACACGTACTGTGACACGTTGACGAACACAGGTCGGTTTTGTTTGACCGCAGAACTCCGCACCAGCCCCCCTGGTGCACCTGGAGCGGTCCTGATCGTCTGGTTCCCCCCTGACCCATGAAATCCGGTGGTTTGTGAACGACCGACCAGTTTGCCCAAAACAACAGGAGGAAGCTCAAGCGAAGGAACCCGCCTTGACCACCCAAGGCGGAAAAAATCAGGTGGCGCGCGTCGTTGTTGCAATTTTTCTTCGGGGTGAGCCACCAAAAAGAAAGAAGTCTTAAAACATGGTCCCTGCCTTAGACCCCCCTATCTCCCCCCAAAACCATCAGAGGCCATGGGAGAAACCCACGACCGTGGACGTCGAGTCCTGCATCTTCTTCTCGTAGTCCTTCTCCAACGCCTTCAGCCGCCGAATCCGCTTCCAGGCCTGGCGCTGGAAGCGAAGGGCCCAGTCTCCGGCCCATCGGGAAGGCTCCGTGGCACGAGCCGTGGAGCCGTGGAGTGGGGGTGAAAGCGTGTGAGGAAATCGGAGTGAAAACGGACCTGAACTTGCAAGGGCTAGGCGTCCTCTTGCAGAGCTTCTACTGATCTAGGACATGGTAGGACGTAGGACGTTTCTTCTGACCTGATTCACCATGATCCTCTTTTGGGATCCGCGTGAGGAATTTGGTTAAATTATCACCCATGCAAATGTCTCAAACAATATGTTTATTCAAATAGTTGGTTCAGTAAGTGACTGATCGAACATTGGAGATTATTATGGGAGAGCCATGTGCTGAATCTCCTGAAGAACTCAGCATCA